AGTGTATAGGTGTTTTGCCTGCAGGTATGTCTGTATACCATGAGCACATCTGATGCCCATGGAGGCTAGAAGAGAGTGTCAGATATCCTGGAACTGGAGTTACAGACTCTTGTGAGCTGCCATATGGGTTCTAGGAATCGAACCTAGGTCCTCTGGAAGAGCAGCTAGTGCTTTTAATTATTGAGCCACCTCTCTAGCCCTGGGTCTAGCCCATGCTTTTTCAAACAGATAGTTTTGATATATTTACTATCAGTATTAAATGGATTAGATCCAATCTCAAATTAACTCACATTTTCATTTAGCTTGGACTCAATCTTTCAATTTTTTGTTAGCACAAATTAACTCACATTTTCATTTAGCTTGGACTCAATCTTTCAATTTTTTGTTAGCACCTTAGACTACTGTTCTGTTCAAATTTAAATTGGATCAAATACAGGAACTCTAGGAATGTGACCCTTTTGAGACACGGTCTCTATTCCAGATCTGTCTGCCCCTGGGACCCTAAAGTGCTGGGATTCAGGGTGTGTGCCACCATGCTGGGCTTTGGAAGTTGATTTTTTTTTTTTTTTGGTTTTTGGAGACAGGGTTTCTCTGTGTAGCTTTGGAGCCTATCCTGGCACTCACTCTGGAGACCAGGCTGGCCTCGAACTCACAGAGATCCGCCTGCTTCTACCTCGCTTCTACCTCCCGAGTGCTGGGATTAAAGGCGTGTACCGCCAACGCCCAGCAGTTGATCTTTTTAAAGATTTAGCTGGGGTTGGAGAGATATAAAGCCTTCTTGAAAAGGATCTGAGATGGACTCCAAACTGCCATGCAGGGCAGCTCCTAGGATCTGATGCCTCTGGCCTCCATGTGCACCTGCACTCAGTGTGCACCTATAAACACACACACACACACACACACACACACACACACACACACACCCACACACACACACACACACCGAAAATAAATCTTTAGAAAATTGACTTACCTAATTACTGGTATAAATATTAAAGCCAGTTGCCACTCTTATACTTTGTTTTTATAATAGAAAACCATACTGTTCTCTCTCTCTCTCTCTCTCTCTCTCTCTCTCTCTCTCTCTCTCTCTCTCTCTCTCTTTCTTTCTTTGATTTTTTGAGACAGGATTTCTCTGTAGGAACTATCTTTGAAGACCAGGCTGGCCTCGAACTCACAGAGATCCTCCTGCCTCTGCCTCCTGAGTGCTGGGATTAAATGTGTGCACCACCATCACCCAGCAAACCATACTGTTTTCGCATCTAACATCCACGTTAATAGAAATACTTTAGATTGCCGGTTAAAAATAAAGTCATCAGATACATGCTTTGACAAATGCATCATAGTTAATGTTAATTAAAATTTTGGAACAAATGATTTAATAGATACACATGCTAACTATGATTTGGTCATCACACATTGTATCCATATATTGAGTTATTATGCTGTATTCCACGAATACATACAATTAAAATAGTAGCTACATATAAATTCTACATTGAAGGTAGATAAGCAGGCACGTACATATACATAATAATAAATGAATTTTTAAAAAACTGATTTGTGCTTTTTAGAAAAGGAGAGAGTAGAGCTGGAGAGTAAGAGGATTTGATGCTATCCTAGAGGACTAAAGTTTGGTTTCTAGCACCCACATTAGGCACCTCACATCTGCCTGTGACTCCAACACCAGGGTTCCAGTGCCCTCTTCTGGCCTCACTGGAAATAGACTGGGCAAACAATAAGAATAATTGAAAATCCCATACAACTATTTTTCTGTTTTTCTTCACTCAATTTTAGAAGTGAATCAAAAATATTTTGAGAAGGGTTATGAGTAGGGACTGGCAGTATATCTCAGTGGTAGGTGGCTTGCTTCACATGCATGATGCTCTGGGTTCTATCTCAAACACTATATGAAAAAGGAAGAACCATTGTAAGGAAGCTTTCCTCTTATTCTGTTCCTTCAAATTTTAACCAGTGTAGTTATGCAGTGCCCTTTTATGATGAGAGTAGTCATCTATGTTTAGAGCTGAGGATTAAGATTCATGATCTGATTAATACAAGTATATGAATATACTGGGATAGGATACTTGAGATACTTAAAGATGATTAATATATACTGATTAACAGCTGGCTCCCATTTTATCTTCCGGTCTTCTGAA